CCAATGAAATTTAGACCGTAAAAGGGGTTAAGTTGAGTTATACCTTTTTTCCATGTGGATTTTCTCCTAAACTGCTTGGAATTCAGTCAAACGATTTGGTGGAATGATGTAAACCATTCTAAGGCACAATAATAAAATAAAAACTCAATTTGGGGATAAGTCAAGTTATTCCCTTCTTCCGCTTCCTGGATCAATTGGTGTCTGTTCGAACGCAGTTTTTCGGGTAGAACTATCCAATAATACTTCTTGATTGGAGTGTTTTTGGACATGCGCAGTAGGTTTGCACTGAAAAACCAAATGTGGTCCAGACCGCACCACTGGTGTGGTCAGATGGATGCCATTTTGACCGCATCAGTTGGTGCAGTCTAGACCACGTTTGGTTTTTCAGTGTGCAACCTGTTTAACAGTTTAACCAACTGTAGCATTTGAAATCTGTATTAATTTTGCTCTCTTTCTTGCTTTTTCTTTGTTTCCTGCTTATGAAAATTCATATAAAACAAATTTTCAATTTTTATGTGATGACTCTAAAAAAATATTCACAGAAAATTAGCAAAACAAAAGTTCTTTTTTTCTGACATTAAGTTTCTCAAATATTACTTTTTTTTCTGTCAATAAAACAATTTTGTTGTTGTTGTGATTCAGTTAGCACTGGGACCACTTCGCTCCACCTCGCGACTTGCAGTGCTCATGTTCCTCGAACAAGACTCACCCGCGTTTCGAAACCATCCCTCCCGAGTTTATGAAGTTTATCACCAACCGTCGTGGCGTTGATACGTTGTAAGGGAGAACTATTACACAGAATTGAAGAAAACATGACTAGAGAACCATAGCCTTTTGAAACAAGCCGAACAATTCAACGTCAGCAACAATGGATGGGCAGTTTTAATGCGCGACTGCTGGTGCTTTCAGCTTCGCGATTTTCGCAAGGGCGCAGACGCCGAGAAACAAGTTGCCAACCCGTGAAAATTAATTTACTGCCTTCTTTCTGCTAAGAACATTTTAATACTGATGGACTATAGAGATGTTCCATTGTCAGAACACTGCGGAATACATTAGCATTTGTATTTTTTGAATTTACCAGCATTGTGATTTCTATTTATTGTCAAGTTTAAATTTCGACGGGTGGCACATTGACCACATTGGTACCACTGCCATTGGTAGTCCCCTGAGCCACAACTTCACAACACCACTTCTTTTCTTTCTCCACACTCTTACACAATAATCAAATTGACTTCGTGACTCCTAGGATTTCTTGAAATCGTATTTTTTATAATATTAAGCGAGACCTGCAGCAGGATATAAGTCAAATAAGCTCCCAGAACGATGGGTCCTAAGAACAAGATCCGATCTGGCAGGTCGTGCGGAAAAGATCCGATCTGCCAAGTCCGTGTAGAAAAGATCCTATCTGCCAGGTCCGCGCGGAAAACGTCCGATCTCAAAAGTGCGTGCGGAAAGCGTCCGAAGTGTTATTTTGGTCGAAATTAGTTATCTCTTGGAAATAAAAGACCAAAAAATTCTACATTTTTTATGTCTTGGCTTCAATAAGCGTATGTGCAGTAGAAATACCCCCTTTTCATGAAAGTACATTTGGTCGATCTCCCGAAAGTGGTTGAAAGTCCGGTGAACATTGTCCGATCTCGGGCGACTGTTGTGCGCGTGCGCAGAAACTCGGCTTCTCTCCGCGCCAGCCAGTCGGGTTCGAAGGCTGCACGAACGCTGCTCGTCGAGAGCGTCCAGAGCGTGGAGAGAGGGAATGCCACCTCAGGCGTCATTATCATTTGGATTATATTGCTGGGTAAGTCATATGCCTAAAATAATCTGTAGTTCAATCTTTCGGTTGCCCCAGTTCTCATCTTTCATGCGTTTCAGCCATAGGATTTGGTTACATCTGATTCAGTTCGCACCTGCTGGCAACATAACCTACACAACTCTCCAGAACAAATGCTAATTTCGGTGTTTCCTTTCAATGTATATGCTCCGGTGGCGAATCCTAGCTTCCAAATGACGTGGGCTTTCAATTCACCCCATATATTCATATTAAAGTTATAATTAGGCCGCAGGCTAGTGGTGATTTGCCCGCGCCTATGTAGGCTAGCCAAGACAAATGCCATGTTTTGTTTCTCTTTCCTTCGAAATTATTCCTCTAAGTGCTCGTTAATTTAAGTTAAAATTTATTTTTTCCCTCATCTTGCAGTGTTAGTGACCATGAAGAGGGGGGAGAAAATGTTTCAAAAGCTGGGGATCGAGCCTCCCATGATAGCTCAAACATCACAAAGTAAGTTGCTATTTTGGTGTTGCACTGCTGCAGCTGCTAACCATTTTACCAAACGATAACAATGACAAGAAGAGGTCACTTCACTTTGTTGAAGCCACTCAGTAGTCAAACTGCCCAAATGTTGTTGCCGCAGATTGTTTTAGCCATGGGCTATGGGTGATGGTGAAGTTTTGTTATTATTTTTTTCTGTTTCTCAAAATTATTCAAGAGCTCTGATGCTTAGTGTTCTCATTATGAAACTTTAAATCGCCCACAAGGGTTCTGATTTTTTTTTCTTCTTGCATAGCTGTGTTTAAATTTTGTTTGCAGAATTTGGAAGAGTTATTAGTTGAAGTGTTGAAAGAAAAAACGGAAACTGATGAGGAGCTAAGCAGGATGCAAAATCAGCTACTGGAAAAAGTGAGTGGAGCTAGTTCATTCTTTGCTTCTTTTTGCTTTGTCTTTACTGTCACTACCATACTTCTGCCTCTGTGTGTAAGGGAAGGTGGGGACCCATGTATCACTTTTTTTTGTTTTGAGTGTCAAAATTTTGGTTTTGGGCATAAAGCAAATGTTTTGGGTCAGAAGCATGAGTTTATCTTCCTTCTACAAGGGCCAATTGAATTTGTTCATGTATCTCATCTGGTTTTGGATAGGAGCGCAATCTACTGAAATCATGTATTTGATACATCGGACCCCATACCTGGGGTCCCATGTATCATCCATGGGGACCCATGTATCACAGCTATTTTCTTCAAAAATAACTTCAATAAAAGGACAAATTATGCAACATTTCCTTGCCGCATTAATTTCTACAATATGTTTATAAGTTTGACCGAGTTTGACCATTCCTAAGGTAAGTTGAGGTCAAAGAGAGAAGGTGAAGATTCATGTATCACAAGTGGGGACCCATGTATCACAGGTGGGGACTCATGTATCACTTTTTTTTTTTGGTGTTTGTTTAATGGCAAAATGTAACTAGACTGTAACACCTGTCGCCTGTCACTCTATTATAATATTGTAATGATTACAGCACAGGCATTAAAATAGGAAAATGTCCGTGATTAATTGCCCCCCCAACATGAAATTTGAGTGATACATGGGACCCCAAAAAATGTGATACATCGGTCCCCACTTGTCGGAGCATTGAACATTGCGGTGTATAGCCAGAACCTATGCTCGGATGTTGCTGTTCGGCACTGCTATTTGTTGTCAAAGCCCTTCCGCACACTCCCACATCAAAAAATTGCGACAATGTTCCATAGCAGGAAGCTAATGAAAGATATTTGAAGAAATTTTTTTTTTACTTTCCCTCAGTTTTGGGGACCAAAATTTTCACTTAGTCACGCCGCCATGTTTGTTGGAGATGCCAGGTCGCATCCTTCCATAAAATGAAGCTCTCTAGATGGTGTTTCGATTCCGCAACACGTGACTCGCCTCGCGGCCGAAACTGAAATTTAATACGCCGTGATACATGGGACCCCGTGATACATGGGTCCCCACCTTCCCTTAGGATTTAGAGCTGGGCGACTGTCTGAAAGAACTTGAACTCTGTCGTGCAATGCAATGAAACAATGGAGGAGCTCATCAAAGCCTCAGGACCAATTGGATGAGCTCTCAAAGGTATTGACTAATGCCTGTTGCCTTCTTTATGAACGTCAGGATTACCACAATTTAGCCTAGATCTCTCATAGTCTGGAGGTGCTAATTTTAGAAGTGGATTAAGTATTCAAATTCATGCATCGTTTGTTACGCATTCTTTACCGGTAAAGATGAGTATGCGTTTGGTAAGACATAACTTGGTGACACATGTTTATCTCAGTAAATACTTAACACACAATTGTAATGTAATATTTTTTGAATAGGTATGATTTTGGTGAGAAACTAATGTTAGAATCTTTTTTCTGTTACCATGAACCTTTTTTTTTACCTTAAAATCAAGAGGAGATAAGTGCAATAAGTTAATATTTTGAAAAGTTTAACATTTTTTGAGATGTTGTGCTGCATGCCAGCCAAAATGTTCTTGCCTCCAGGGGCATGTTAGAACACTTCAGCTATGAAACGTGATGTAGACCAATGGATACAGCCCCCCCCATCTCTAAACCCATGTTCAATGCCCATAGATTGTACTATACAAGCATTTTTCTCTGTAGTCACGTTCACTGTTAAAAAAAAAGTCTGAAAATTCAGACTAAATTGGTCAGAAGTTATTAACAGACTTGAGAGGTCTGAAAATTGAGACCGTTTAGATGGTCTGAAAATTCAGAACTGGAGAGTCTTACATTTAAGAGTTTGGTGGTCTGAAAATTCAGTCCCGTATGGAAATTGTCAACTGAAAGGTTCGTGACATGATAAATATGACATAGGCAGAATCTCAGGTGTGTGTGAACCTCCAGAGAGGACAACATAGAGTAAGAATTGTGTTGAGGGAGAAGATCCTCTGGACTTTTCCCTGCCTCTCGGGAGGCCGGCCTGTGGCACCCAAGGAAGTGGCGACACGGAGCCACCCGCGAGAGGTAAATTAAAATGTGGATTGTTCAACTCCCACCCATATTACGGAGATAAATCTTGCCGCAGAAAATGGTTCTCATATGGCCGATGAAGTCTTGTCAATTTGGAACTTTTCACCTAATATATTTTCACATTAGAAGCCTTTAAAACAGAAGTAGGTATGTTCTACAACATGCGCGCCATCTAGCGGGCAAACGAAATCTTGGGTTGGTCTGAATTTTCAGACTTAATCATCTCAATTTTCAGACTGCGCTGGTCTGAATTCAAGTTCTGAGACGATCAGGTCGCAATTTTCATACCGGAAGGCTAAATTTTCAGACAAGCAGTCTGAAACAAGTCTGAAAAATAGATTCAGACCACCAAGTCTGACAAAAGTGGTCTGAATTTTCAGATTTTTTCTAACAGTGTTGTTACCAAAACCATCAAGTATTCATAAGACATCAGTGAAATGATTTACCCCTTATATTGACTGAAATATGGAGATTACATATGTGTCACCTGAAGGCAAAGAATGAGTACCACTTAGCAATATTTATAAATTGCTTCTGTAACTTGTTTTAACGATTTTTAGTTTTTGGCCCGTCCCGTTTATTTTTTTGTAAAAAAAATGACGGAGGGACGGGCATATAGTATGATCCCTGCTGTGCGTGCGTCCGTCCGTTCGTCCGAGGACTTCCCGTGGTCCGATCTTGACCAAATTTGGTATGCACCCTCCTTGGGTGACCCTAAGAACCGCCCGGTGGCAGCAAATCCGATCCGAGCCCCGGGGGCGCTGCTGCAGGTGCATCATGGTCTACATGGGGTCGAGGAGGATCTCGGCAACAGATGCAGCTAGGAGGGCATGTAATGTAGGGGTATTTTTTGGCTGAGCGATAGCGAAGCCTGTTACTCCATTGGGACATGGCCGTCACTACAATTTGGTGAAATACGTGGTTGCAGGGGTTCACGAAAATGGCTCGTTCTCGGGAACGAAGCCGAACACATTTTTTGGTCAACATTTTCGTTTAGGGAAGGGTTTAAGCTATCTTTTAAGCCCAGAATGGTCAAAATCGGTTAAGGATGTAGGAAATGGCGCTAATTTGAAAACTTCACTAAAGTTTTAAAGTTATAAAACGTTTTTGGACATAAAAACTTCAATGACAAAAAAGATTCAGTTTTTCATCCTCTTTCCAAATCTGGTCTCGGATTTGACCTACGACCAATGGTTGCCGAGATATTGCCCTCCAAAGTTGCGTTATTCCAATATTTAGCAAAAAAGTAAATTGGCCATAGCCCAGCCTCTGGGGGGCCGGACCCCAAACCAAGTACCGATTATTTCATGGGACCATAGGGGTAACAAACCCTGAAAACGAGAACCGGATCGGAGCCCATGGTGGCTAAGGCCTGGTTGACTTCACATGGAATGTCCCCATTGGGGTTGAAGAGTTTTTCCTGTCTGTCTGTGTGTGTGTCCGCACTACTCCTCCTGAACGGCTCGGCCGATCTCGGTGAGATTTTGCACACTTTTTGGGTACGTCCTTGGCTCGTCACACGCGAAATTTCACCATCCCAGCTCAACTGGTTCAGTTTTAATTGCCGAAAAACACATAAAAACGGCGAAAAAACGAGTTTTCCGCAGGCAGATTACTTCTGTCTTGAAGAAAGGAGGGTCAGAGCCCCAACAAGTTAAAAAGTTCCAAGGGTCAAGATCGTGTTATCTGTAGACGAAGCAACTCTATCTACGATGGAGGGGGGTCTAGAAAGAAACAAGTTAGAAGTAAACGACGACGGACAAGCCATTGCCTGCCGAAGGCAGGCTAGCGCCGCAGGCCAAGGTAGGTACGCCAGGCGCGGATTGGAGGAACAGGCAGCGAGACATCGCGAGGCCTGTTACGACAAGACGCGGTCTGGCGTAAACCTACCTTGTAGTAGTCAATGGTTATGTGATTGTTTAAGGGGGGAGGCTCGCCAGTAACACTAAAATTTTGGTTAAATTTAAAAACATATATTTTTTTCCTGATTGTTTTGAAGGAATGAGGGGTTTTCCAATGGAAAGATCACACTTTTAAGAACATTTTGTAAAAAAAGTTATTTATTTTGGGCCACTTTAACCAGGTTCTGAAGGCATATCAAAAATACCTTGCAAAAAGACATAAATTCACTGCGCGCAAGGTTTTGAAGCTATCCGGCAACTTTTTCCAAATCCGTTTGTTTCCCCTGAAACTAGACACTTGGCTTTATAGATTGAACCTCTAGGTTTTACATATCTGGTTTCTAACTATTGTTATTTTACATTTCACAAAAATATTTAAAAGTATACAAAATTTGAGCTTTTAAAAGTTGATAAAAACCACTTGCAGTTGTTCAATTTGGAAACTAGAGGTTCAATTTATGGATCTTGTTTAGGTGGAACACCAGAAAAAATTTCAAGTCAATACGTGAAATGGTTTGGCCTAAATCGTGCGCGCAAGGCCCAAAATATCGCAATTGAGTAAAATGGCTCTAAAGTTTGAACGGTCTAACCTAACCTGTGGAAAATAGTTTACAAAATGTTGTCCTCTGACCGAACGGTTTCGAAATTCGAAACCAATCAGCCACATAATTAAAGGGCTTGATGCAAAGAATTCAAAAATCTCAAAACCGAAAATCTGTTTTTTTGACGGAAAATGACCAGCCTCCCCCTTAATAAAAAACACATATTATGTCATTGTTAAAAGAAAATAAAAATGTGTGTACACTAAAAGGCCTAGCACAACCAAAGATTCATTTTATTCTCCTAGTTTCCAACACACGAGTGTAGGCAAGAACTCTGCTCTTATAGCTACATGGTTCCTACTGGTAACTGTTTCATTTTTCTCACTTGGACTCTTTGGCCTTTAAATGGCATCATTCAATAATATCAGAACAGAAACAGTTATTTTAACACCCATTTTGAGACCAAGAAAGTCGTTGGCTTTCACTATAGTCTTGATGAAGCATCTTTTTAACTAATTGGCTGAGCGATAGCGAAGCCCGTTACTCAGTTGAAGAGTTTTTCCTGTCTGTCTGTCTGTCCGTCTGTCTGTCTGTGTGTGTGTCCGCACTACTCCTCCTGAACGGCTCGGCCGATCTCGGTGAGATTTTGCACACTTTTTTAGGTACGTCCTTGGCTCGTCACACGCGAAATTTCACCATCCTAGCTCAACTGGTTCAGTTTTAATTGCCGAAAAACACATAAAAAAAGGCGAAAAAACGAGTTTTCCGCAGGCAGATTACTTCTGTCTTGAAGAAAGGAGGGTCAAGGGGGGGGGGGAGCCACCCAGCCCCAACAAGTTAAAAAGTTCCAAGGGTGAAGATCGTGTCATCTGTAGACGAAGCAACTCTATCTAGAAGGGAGGGGGGTCTAGAAAGAAACAAGTTAGAAGTAAACGACGACGGACAAGCCATTGCCTGCCGAAGGCAGGCTAGCGCCGCAGGCCAAGGTAGGTACGCCAGGCGCGGATTGGAGGAACAGGCAGCGAGACATCGCGAAGCCTGTTACGACAAGACGCGGTCTGGCGTAAACCTACCTTGTTATCATCTGGTTTGGCTCATGTAAGGTCTTAAAATATTCCCTAATGCCCGTATTAAATCACTGTCCTTTGAGAATTTTCGTTAAGTCAAAGGCCGATTTGTCCTGGAGTCCTGAAATTTGTATTGGCAATGTCTCAGAATGGCCCCGTGACACATTTGGGGATCGAGCAAATCTGAGCAAGTGTCGAGGGACATCCGAGCAAGTCCCGAGCAAGTCCCGAGCAAAAGGTCCCACCGAGCAACGCAGCCGAGCAACGGCGCCAATCCTTACAAAAAGGCCTTCCCTGGCTCAGAAAACAGTCCGAAATGTATCAACCCATACATTTTTCGAAAGGGGAGATCATGAGGCAGATGACTAAGCATGTGGCTTTGCTCATTTCCTCAATCCATTTGCCGAAACAGGCTTTGAAACTGGCGGAACATGAACAACAGCAAAGTGTGCCTTGTGTGCAACACGCCCGCACCCGTGACTGGCGGGACGGCCCGCCCCGCAGGCGCGCGCACGGCCACCGCTGTGACATAGACGCCTTGCCTCGCAGCGGCTAGGCAACCCAGCACGCGCCACCACCCCTCCTTCGTCGCTCTGCCTCCGACTCCTCTCTGCCTCCGGCTTTCGTCGCCCTGTCTCTCTCGCACTCTTAGGCAACGCCCTTTGACTGCGAGAGAGTCATTTCGATTCTGTCACACTATGTCCACACTCCAGTCGTCAATGATCCCTCATTGATCATTGCACCGTGACTTTGTTTCAGTTTGTTTTCTTTGTTTCAGAAATGAAGACTTGTGTCTCTTGTCTCCACTTCCAGTGTAGGCCACAGGAAACCACCAGCACCTGGACACTAACTAACTTAACAAGGTAGGTTTACGCCAGACCGCGTCTTGTCGTAATAGGCTTCGCGATGTCTCGCTGCCTGTTCCTCCAATCCGCGCCTGGCGTACCTACCTTGGCCTGCGGCGCTAGCCTGCCTTCGGCAGGCAATGGCTTGTCCATCATCGGTTACCTCTAACTTGGTGCATGCTGGCGCCCCCCAGACCCCCTTCTACAAGACAGAAGTGATCTGCCTGCAGAAAACTCGATTTTTCGCCGTTTTTTAGGTGTTTTTCGGCTATAAAAACTGAACCAGTTGAGCTAGGATAGTGAAATTTTGCGTGTGCCCAGCCAAGGACATGCCCAAAAAGTGTGCAAAATCTCACCGAGATCGGCCGAGCCGTTCAGGAGGAGTAGTGCGGACACACAGACAGACGGACAGACAGACAGACAGGAAAAACTTTTCAACCCCAATGGAGTAACAGGCTTCGCTATCGCTCAGCCAACAAGTCTACGCTGTTTGACCACATCACAGTTGCCATTCTGAATTCTCGGGGAAAGGTCTATCTATGGTCCGTTCAATTCAATCCTTTCTTATTAAAATTATTTGCGTACTTAAATGCTCTCTGTTGTTCCTTTTGACGTCATATGCATGGTTATGCCATTCCTGGAATTATATTTCAAATAAGAACTGGGGTAGATTTCTTACAAGGTTGAGTGTTTATTAATCACAACTACATCCACCCTAGTTCTTATTTGAAATATAATTCCAGGAATGGCATAACCATGCATATAACATCAAAAGGAACAACAGAGAGCATTTACTTACACAAATAATTTTAATAAGAAAAGATTAGATTGAAAATACCATAGATAGACCTTTCCCCGAGAATTCAGAATGGCAACTGTGATGTGGTCAAACAGCGTAGACTTGTTAAGTTAGTGTCCAGGTGCTGGTGGTTTCCTGTGGCCTACACTGGAAGTGGAGACAAGAGACACAAGTCTTTATTTCTGAAACAAAGTCACGGTGCAATAATCAATGAGGGATCATTGACTGGAGTGTGGAGATGGTGTGACAAAATCGAAATGACTCTCTCGCAGTCAAAGGGCGTTGCCTAAGAGTGCGAGAGAGACAGAGCGACGAAAGCCGTCGCACTCGAGCTGCAAGGGCGGGCAGGCTGCAAGCGATTCCGAAGAATACTTTCGTCGCTGTCTCTCTCGCACCCCGGAGGCAGAGCGACGGTGCTGGGTTGCCTAGCCCAGCGGTTCCCAACAACCTTTTTCGGTTCGCGACCTCAAATTTGTAGCCAAAAATTTCCGCGACCCCCAGGAAAAATTTCGCGACCCCACGCGACCCCTCCTTAAGCATGCCTTTGATACAAAGTGCGATAATCCGGCTTAGTTTGGAAGCAGTGTTGTCTCAAAGTTGATCAAAACGGCTACAAATGTCTGTGAAAAATCGTGTTTTTGGCCGACTTTAAGCATCTACTGCGTCTGATCCGAAGCGGTATTTCGTCCTTCCTCAACGGGCAATTGGTCTTTGGACCTTCCTTTTGCGTGACTTTGTTACGGAAAGCGATTATCTGCCTTAGTTTGGGAGCAGTACTGCCGCAAAGTTGATCAAAACGGTCACAAATTTCTGTGAAAAATTTTGTTTTGGGCCGACTTTAAGCATCTACTGCGTCTGATCCGATGCGGTATTTCGTCCTCCCTCAACATGCAATTGGTCTTTAAACCTTTCTTTTGCATGCCTTTGTTAGGGAAAGCGATTATCTGCCTTAGTTTGGGAGCAGTATTGCCGCAAAGTTGATCAAAAAACGATTTTTCAGACATTTGTGACCGTTTTGATCAATTTTGCGGCTATACTGCTTTCAAACTAAGGCAGATAATCGCACTCCGTAACAAAGGCATGCAAAAGACAGGTTCAAAGACCAATTGCCCGTTGAGGGAGGACGAAATACCACCTCGGATCAGCCGCAGTAGATGCTTAAAGTCGGCCCAAAACACGATTTTTCACAGACATTTGTGACCGTTTTGATCAACTTTGCGGCATTCAAGCAGTCACTGCGTCTGATTTGAGGCGGTATTTCGTCCTCCCTCTCCCTCATAGAGCAATTGGTCTTTGGACCTTCCTTTAGCATGCCTTTGTTACGGCGTGCGATTATCTGTCTTAGTTTTGGAGCAGTATTGCCGCAAAGTTGTTCACGCCAGTGCTCGGCGTGTGGGCTAGCCGGGAAACCACCGCGACCCCAGGCGACCACAGCCACCTCGCCGCGACCCCTCGAAATTTTTTCGCGACCCCAGAACCGCTGGCCTAGCCACTGCGAGGCAAGGCGTCTATGTCACAGCGGTGGCCGTGCGCGCGCCTGCGGGGCGGGCCGTCCCGCCAGTCACGGGTGCGGGCGTGTTGCACACAAGGCACACTTTGCTGTAGTTCATGTTCCGCCAGTTTCAAAGCCTGTTTCGGCAAATGGATTGAAGAAATGAGCAAAGCCACATGCTTAGTAATCTTCCCCATGATCTCCCCTTTCCAAAAATGTATGGGTTGATACATTTCGGACTGTTTTCTGAGCCAGGGAAGGCCTTTTTGTAAGGATTGGGGCCGTTGCTCGGCTGCGTTGCTCGGTGGGACCTTTTGCTCGGGACTTGCTCGGGACTTGCTCGGGACTTGCTCGGGACTTGCTCGGGACTTGCTCGGCATTTGCTCGGCATTTGCTCGGCACTTGCTCGGCACTTGCTCGGGACTTGCTCGGTACTTGCTCGGATTTGCGCGGATGTCCCTCGACACTTGCTCAGATTTGCTCGATCCCCAAATGTGTCACGGGGCGCTGGAATCGAGTTCGGACGCTTTCCGCACGCACTTTTGAGATCGGACGTTTTCCGCGCGGACCCGCCAGATCGGATCTTTTCCACACGGACCTGCCAGATCGGATCTTGTTCTTAGGGCCCATCGAGAAGATGGTCCCTTCTTGGGCCATTTCAGACGAAAGAATTCTTCGGCGAAGCCCTCTTGAACATATCTGAGAAAAGACTTGCATTTTGCCTGTCATCAGGATCCAAGTAATGCTCCAAAGAAGATTTGTTTAAGCCCTGAGAAAATCTCTCCGAAAAAAGATGGAAACAAAACGGAGTCTCCATGAACGTGATAACAGAGTTTTTCTCCATAAAACTTCGGAGCTAATTCCTAACAGAGTGGCATCAGCGGCTCATGCCACGATAGTTGTTTAGCCTGTGTATACGGCGTTTGAATTACAATGTGGAGTGTTCAGTTCTTACCCTGTCCAGTTTTTCCCCGCACTGGCCCTAGCGTGTAATGGTGAAATGCCAAAAAATGCCCTAGGCTAACGCATGGGAAGGCCTAGCACTTTACGTGCGATGCAAAAGCATAGCACAAATTTGTGGGATGAAAACATATTTTTAGAATGCTGTTCACTGAATATTTGACTCGTCACTTGGTGACAATTTCAAGGCTAATTTTCCTTACTAGAAAGTCATCAAAAGAATCGATGACATTGTTGTCACGCCCATGCATGCAATAAATATAGGATCTTTGATGAAAATGTCATCAACTTGTGATGAGACCGTCATCATTTGAAAGTGATGAAAATATCATCCACGATTTTGTCATAAAGTGACAACAAATTTTCAGTGTTCTAGCACAACCTTTAAGCCCGTGTTCCGCCAGCGAGGCCCAAGGCGAGCGTGCCCCCTACCTTTGTCGCACATGGCCGCAATCTCGTCGCTGCCATCACTGCAGCCGTCCACGTCGCCGTTGCACACCCAGGAGGCGGGGGTGCACTCGCCGCTGTTGCAGCGGTACTTCTTGAACCCGTCCTCGTAGTCGCAGGTGTCATCTGTCGACAGCATCCGTGCATCAGTTATCAGGTGTGCACAGTCACAGGCAATTACTTTGAAAGTTTTTTTTAATGCGTAGCATTTGAAATAAATTTTTACAGAGTGTTACCATCCGAGCCCAGCAACTTACTGATGAAAGCGGCGGGCATGTCGTTGTTCCAGTGGTCCGGCCGCACGTTGAGCGTGTCGCTGCTGGCCGAGGGCGCGGGCAGCGTGGCCACCTTGTCGGGGTGGCCCTGCAGCCACACTGCGAGCTGGCCCGCGCGCCGCTCCGCCTCGAACACCAGGTAGCCGCTGCGGAAGTGCTCCGCCGGCCGCGCCTGCACCAGAAACTTTGTTAAGATGACCTGTGTCATTTTATTTTGTGACCTTGACGTTCCTACATTGTGAGTGACATTGATTTTTCTACAACCTTGATCTTTCTCCAACCTTGATCTTCCTACAAGCTTCATCTTTCTACAAGCTTGATCTTTCTACAAGCTTGATCTTTCTACAACCTTGATCTTTCTACAACCTTGACCTACCGTAAGCCGGGGTATTATGAGACAATTTTGGGGTAATATGAGACGGAGTTTGGTTTGCGTAAGATTCGCTCTGACCTCGCTTTTCGGCCACAAAAAGAGCCACTGCTCTAAAAAATTAATTTGGCTGAGCGATAGCGAAGCCCTTGCCGTGTTTGGGCGCGCTGAAAAGTGACTGGTCGTGCGTCTGTCTGTCTGTCTGTGAGTCTGTTTGTACTCACCAACGATTCTCAGCAACTACAGTGGCTATAGTTTCAAGATTTCGTATTTAACGTCGCCTTAGTACCCCCCAACACGAGTTTGTTTCAAATCGTTGTTTAGTATCGTTTGAAATATTCAAAACATATTTTTGAATCAGGTTATTAGCATGGGTAGGTTGGCAGCACTCAGCACTCACCAATTTCTCATACCTGCGGCAGCGGCTCTCAAATACGGGACAGAAGCAAATAAGCAAATAAAACAAAATAACGAGCAGAAGGGTTTGGAAATGAGATCGGCCATAGTTTTTCAACATTCTAGAATGATTAAAACCCTTTTGGAGTATCAACACAGCGAAATATGGAGAATGGAAGTGCAAATGATTTACGTCTTTCGTTCCCCTCGCCCCTCTCCCCCGTTAGAGGGGAATCTTCTTCAGGTCAGTGCACTTTGACAGAGCATTGTAAAAAGAATGTTTTTATTTTCACCTTTTGTATTGTGGGCATCTACATATTTCATTTTCTATAGTGTCATCCTCTTTTTTAAATTTTCATACTAGAGGAAATCAGGGAAATGCATAAATAACTTGTGTTGAAATTAGCAGGCATACTTAGTTTGGACTCGAGAAATACATTCTTTTTCAAAACTGCAAGCTGACAAGAGTGCAAAAGTACTAACATGTGTTTATTAATAGAATCAATGTATGCTTGTGTGTATTGAGTTTTAATTGATATTGGGTTCAAAGAGACGACTCAGGTTTTGAGCGGTGAGTGAATTAGTGATTCGATTTAATGAGACGATTCTTTTAACATCACCGAAGTTAATATAACTGGTACTACTCAGTATTGTTTACATGAGTAAGAGAAATTATGTCGGTTCATTAAGTTTTGGGTAGCCTTGGCATTGGACTCTATGTGACGAATCACTGGATTTGACAATAATTGGTCCCCGTTAACTGGTTCAGATCAGCCTACCCTAAACTGCGACTCTCTTAATATTAACTGTGATAACATGTTCCAATCAATATTGTTTTATTCACTGGTTCACAATGAAAGAATGGCAAAATGTTTCTTAAATATTACTTATAAAATTGTGAATTCATTAGTTAGGAAAAAAAGATATCGAATAGTGACCCAAGCATACAAGTAGCCAATTAAGCGATTCAATGCTGGCAATTGAATGTTACTCGACTGAGGGATTCGCATTGGTGTGGCATCAGGGAATTGGTGACGACAGAGGGTGCTTCATGAAGACAAATAGGAACAATGTACAGAAAGAAATTTAGTCTAAAGTATTGTATGCAGTTTTCAGTGTACTAGTCACAAAAACTTCATTTATTTCAATGCCAATCCTACATTTTCATCTAGAGCTACGCAATTTTGGGCCAAACTTTCCAAGTTGAGATTTGTGTGTTTCGCTGTAGTTTTCAGTGCGCTGACCTCAATATTGACATCTAAATTGTTCCCTGACCCAAACTTTTAACACCAGACCTATAATTTCATCCCAGATTAGGTCATTTTGGACCAAAAATTTCAAGTCAAGGTTTATATTGTTTCCTGCAGTTTTTGATGTGCTGAACTTAAAAATGACTTCCAAAATTTTCTCAGACTCACACTTACCCGAATTTGGACCAATTTTGGAGCAAATTTTTTAAATCGAGTTTGACGTTGATCCCAGCAGTTGTTGGTGTGCTGATAACGAAAATCACTCCCATTTCGACTTCAGACTTATATTTTCATCCCAAATTAGGTCATTTTGGACCAAAATTTTCAAGTCGAGTTTTATATGGTTTCCTGCAGATTTTGGTGTGCTGAACTCAAAAATGACCTCCAAACTTTTCCCAGACTCACATTTAACCGAATTTTGACCAATTTTGGACCAAAATTTTTATATTGAGTTTGACTTTGATCCCAGCAGTTTTTGGTGTTCTGATAACGAAAATCACTTCCACTTGTGCCCCTGGTCTAAAGTTCACTCAATATGAGCCCATCATTGCACATTTCGTCTACTCAAGCAAAGTCCAAAGTGCACAAACTATGTCAATTCGCATCGCTCAGCCACACTACGCGCCCAGACTAAACGGCGCGTACCCCTAGTTACTCTTTGTTGGAACCATTTTTAGCCGTGAAGTTTGACAGGGATAAGTCATCAAATGCCACGAGCATCATAATTCTAACGATAAAAATCATGCGTCTCATATTACCCCGAAATTGTCTCATATTACCCCTGTCTACGGTACACACTAAATTCTTATGTACTTTTTGTCCGTGTACCCATGGCCATATTTGTTCATACGAAAGATATGCACAGTTATGATTAGGTATAATTTTACAAATATTGAAACAGAATATGGAAATTTGGTCCCTAATTTACTTATGAAATTGTACACAGCTTGCGTATGTGCAAATGGCCATAGTCATGGACAATAAAGGTACATAACATTTGGTGCGTACTTCTTGACCTTGGTCCGCCCACTCACCCCGCTGTTGTAGTTGCCGCCGGTGCAGTAGCGGCCTCGCGCGTTGCACCTTGTCAAGGCACTGAACGTGAGCTGTCCGCCCGGCACGGCGCCAGGCACCCACAGCCTGCTGCATTGGCCGCCGTCGCACAGGTGGAACTCGACGGGGCCGAACTCCTCCTTGTAGTGCACGCGCACGGTCACCCTCTGGCCGACGGACAGTTTCGTCGACGGGACTGAACGAAAGGGCAACGGGGGTTCAATTCAAAGCAGGTACATACTGCGTTCTGTTAACTGTCGCGCATGAAAGTTTCAGATTTTTATCTCAATCGTTCCGCTTACTTTGATTCACTAATTCGCCATGAAATTGACCCACCTTAGCAGTGAATTAGGCGCAAGCATCACGCTACGTATATTTTTGGCCCATAGCCTTTGCATAAAATTGGGCGTGCGCATGAAGCGCACAAATTCATGAATTTTTAAACGTATGCAGAATTTTATACAAAACTTATAGTCAAAAATCTACATTGAAATTTTGTGACAGTAGCAAATTTTTCCAGAATGTGAGTCTTTTCCTTCTTTATTTTATTTTTACTGTCATTAGCTGACCGCCATTTTTTGACAACCCAGCCAGGAGGAGCTGATGTCAAAAAACGGCCATGAAAACAAAACAAGCACCTTCGTAATACTATGAAGAAACACACCAAATTACAACGTGCAGCAGTCTTTTGGTGCATAGCATTTCCGCAAAATTGAGCACACGCGCGAAACGCTCTAATTCGTGCGCAACAACGCACACTGTCGTGCTTAGTTACGCACAAAATTCGTGCATTTCAAAACGCATGCATAATTTTACGCAAAGCTTGGGCCCCAAAAAGCTACATAGAAACTTACTCTACAAATCAAAGAGTGTACATAGTATGCTCTAGCTGGAGCATGCCTGCAAGCACGCTCTAGCTAGCGCATGCCTGCCAAGCATGCACTAACTAGTGCATACATGCCATGTACACGCTAACTGAAGCAGACGTTTACTCCATAAGGGATAGGGAGTTTTCTGCATCAGGAAGCGTGTACATGGCATGTATGCACTAGTTAGTGCATGCTTGGCAGGCATGCGCTAGTTAGAGCGTGCTTGCAAGCATGCTCCAGTTAGAGCGTACCATGTACACTCTTTGATTTGTAGAGTAGAGTGAAAGCTACATCTTCGTATCACGCTTGCGCCGTTTTCATCGCACATGGGACGTTTTCGACATTGCGCCTGTTCCCACGCACCACTGTCACACTTGGACGCTTTCTCATCGCTGCCGTCCTTGCAGCCGTCGACCACCCCGTTGCACACCCACGACGCGGGGGTGCACTCGCCGTTGTCGCACCGGAACTTTTTGAATCCATCTTGATAGGGGCACCTGTTGCCTGCAAAAGAAACGTAACCGTTTGCATCCTTGTGCTACCAACGCAATATCGCAGATGGCGTGTATTGGTCTCCTCTCCTTTTCTTTTATTGCCATAAAAACCGACGATTTTGATTGAAAATTTATCAAAACTGATCACTAATTTTGCAATACTACCGCCGAGGCTCTGCGTGCGTAGCCCCTCGTCTAGACTGCAAATCCAAGTGTGGGACAGTCTCACAACATTTAGTGTCTCCTCGCGCTTACAAGTGTGAGCCACGTTTTGTCGCACCGGCAGTGGGGTATTTTGTCCGGCCCCCTCAAATGTTCAGACTTAATAGTGCCATTTTGAGTTCGAAAGGGAGAAAAATATGGCAAAGTCACCAATTCTTTAATTTGTGCGTTTCGGCCGCAGGTTTTCTCGATTTGCAGTGTACACTAACATCAAACGGTGCATTGTAAACACCGAGGCAATGGCCTTCGTTTCTGCGCTGCCGCGTTGAATTACGTGCGACGGAGACAGAAGATTCATGCTGAAAGTTCAAAGAGCAATAGTCGGCATGTGCGATAAAACTGAGATCGAACTTATCGCAACCACAGGCATGACGCTCAGAGCGTAGGAATACAGAATCAAAACCTTACGAAGTATATTTTCAGCGTTACAAACTATCTAGTAACGAAGTGGAATGCAATTTCCTGGGAGTTCCTTGGATAAGCGGGACCCGCGGTTTTTTTTTTGTCGCGTGAATAGTTCCAAACTTCCTCCTGAGAAATGCCGTGCAGTCATAATACCAAGCTAATTCTCAGTACTTTACGAAACAAATCCATCATAAAACAGAGAAATTTGTTCGTAATAGAAGAAACTCATCATAAGTTACTGAGAACCCTTCACCATAGGGTACTACCTTCACTGTGCTGTCATAATAATACGCTTCTTGTTAGTACTACGAAGAAAAAGTTCGATATAGGTTCCACTGCAATGCCCAGTGGTAAGTTTACTTGCCACAAATTTGGCAAGCCGTTTTGAATGCCAACAATTGGCAAGCTTGGGCCGGAAATACTCCCCAGCTTGCCAAAATTTGGCAAGCTTCTGAAGATTGGCGACCAAAGCTTGCCAAATTTTGGCATTCAAAACGGCTCGCCAAATTTGTGGCAATCAAACTCACCACTGGCTCTGCAGTGTCTTGGGAGTGAAGCGGCGAGCTTTCTGACCTGCGCTGAGCACTGGTCCGCACAGGGCCAGGGCCAGGTACAGCCTCACGGCGATGGCCAGCTCCATGGCCGTGCCGGCGTGGCTGAGGCTCGCTGCGAGTGGCGAGGCGATGCGCGGAAAACTTTGCCACGGGACAAGCTCCTCCCAACCGGCCGGCGGCAAGACCGAGACTGAGGAATCCAGCGTGTGCAAGCACGACGGCCCCGCACCCTGACTCGGGCTGTCTCCCTCGCACTCACAGGGCGCCGCCCATGGGTGCGAGAGAGACAGAACGACGAAGACGACTCTCGGAGTGTCTCTCGGAGTCTGCCGCCTGGGACTCCCAGGCTCGCGCGTCACCGTATCGGAGCGAGAGGAGAGGGGGGGGGGCACAGCAGGCTGACCCCGAGCAGTCGCTCTGTCTCTTTTGCCCTCATGGCGCGTCCCGCACAAGTGTGAGAGAGCGACGAAGCGCTGTTTGGGATCTGCTACCTGCGCCGCGACTCGCACCAACAACAGGGACCCGGCTGGAACCGGGAAGGCTGCCGACCGCTGGGATGATCCATCTGAGCGCCGTGAGGTAATCAGAGCCAAGACAGTGTAGGAGAAGTACACAACTGTGCGTTGACCAATGTCCTACACACTTGGAAATGCTAATCAATGTTAGGCCAAGCGTAGGATGATGTCGAAAAATGTTGATTTTGGCGAGACATTTGTTTCTCGCCAAAAAAATGGTGAGACTTTTGTTTCTCGCCCCAAAAAATGGTGAGACTTTCGTTTCTCGCCAAAAAAATGGTGAGACTTGAGTTTCTCGCCACAGAATGGCGAGACTTTGTTTCTTTCCCCCAGGATGGAATGAATTCCGTCCTTTGACTTTTCAGTGTTTGGGGCATCCTCTTTTACGCCCTTCAAGGGCGTCAATCGTTTTATGACCTTGGGAAGGGTGTAAATGGTACAGGACTTAAGAAGGGACTATACTGAAAATGGTTTTTTTTTGGATCAATCCAGAAATTTTCTTTTGTTTTACCGTAAGCCGGGGCAATACTATGAGACAATTTCGGGGTAATATGAGACGGAGTTTGGTCAACGTAAGATTCGCTCTAAGCGTTCCCGCCCATTTTCCCCAAAAATAAATTCCCAAATATTGGCTTTCCAAAAAACATTTTCCCAAGGCACTCCTTCCCAAAATTAAAGTCCCGTAGTTGTTGGTAATATGGACCACTTTTCGACGTCAATTTAGAATTACTGAAAACTGCTGCAGTCTTGTCAATTATAATATATAATATACCATCCTTCCCGCGTGTTTTGGCCCAAACGGCATGTTATTAGCCTGCTTCTTTGCAGAGTAACAGCTGTGCAAAGAGTGGTCCGTATTACCGCCTAGTGTGGGGTAATATGGACCACCCCTGGAATTTTTCAGCTACGAAGGGTGATTCGGGTTTCCAATTGGCTTCAAAAACTTAAAAACGCTTTTTTGAGTGTGTTGGTAATGAGTGCCTCACTTGAATCTCGCGATAGGAGCTCCTGCGCCATCAAAATAGGGATTTTTGATAAAAGTGAAACACTGTGGAATCTGACATTAAAACAGCTTCTGTGCCGTATCTATTAAAAACCGTGAAACGCAATCAATCTAAACAAGTTTAAATTTCGATTTCGAAGACAATACACTTAAAACTTTTCACAGTATCTGCTATTCAACGTGGTCCAAATTACCCTGTAACGTTACAATTTTTCACTTTTTACCTCATAAGTCATCAACAAGTCGATTCTGAGATGCAAAGTTTCGACAGACGTAGTCTCAAAACATGAGGGAACAAGAACAAATACCAGAAACGGCAGCATTATTCGCACCGTAGACAGGGGTAATATGAGACAATTTCGGGGTAATATGAGACGCATGATTTTTATCGTTAGAATTATGATGCTCGTGGCATTTGATGACTTATCGAGGGGTCCTATTCAAAAGATCTTATCTGCGCGTTCCCCCCAAGACAATCTTATCTTAAACGCAGGCGGATTTCACCCAGTTTGACCAGTTGGGACACGTACGAGAGTAAGCGGAATAGATTTTTACATGTACTTTTGGTTTCTTTTATCTGTCATCTCCACATTTCAGTGAATTTTATCACAAATGATATTGATTTGTAGCTGTATTAAATGACCAAACTGAGTGGAATTCGCCTGCGTTTAAGATAAGATTGTCTTGGGGGGAACGCGCAGATAAGATCTTTTGAATAGGACCCCTCGTTATCCCTGTCAAACTTCACGGCTAAAAATGGTTCCAACAAAGAGTAATTAATTTTTTAGAGCAGTGGCTCTTTTTGTGGCCGAAAAGCGAGCTCAGAGCGAATCTTACGCAAACCAAACTCCGTCTCATATTACCCCAAAATTGTCTCATAATACCCCGGCTTACGGTAGTTGACGCTCCACAACTGAAGTTAGTCATTGAAATTCAAAAAACGCCAAAAAATAAGTTTCTTAAAATTTGCTGTAAATCGAGCTGATATCTCACTGTAAGTCTTGGAGCACCGTCTCATTGGCATTATTTGAGCCACGGTGCATGCAAGTTCGGTTGTTAGTGCCAGAAACGGTTTTCGAGTCCTCCGCTAGGCGGCAGCACCGATCGCAGAGAAGAATGTCGGGGCTGGTCCACATTCCCACTGTGGTCCAAATTACCCGCTTTCACGGTCCCTATTTTCCAATCCATTGTTACCAAATTTAGTTTCCCAAAAGTTCCCAAAAGTTTTCCCAAAATCTTTCCTTGTGTGCCCATGAACTCCAGAAGGGAACAGGCGGAGGTCATAATGACCGAAAAGGGGGTGGTGAGGAGCCTCCGGAAGAACAGTGTGAGTGATGGTTTTGATGAGTACCAAATTCTGGGCGAGGTAATTCTCACTCAATCACCCAAATCTGGGAGAAGATTTTTAGGCACGAAGTAGCCTTATAGTATCCCCCAGGATTCAGCCTCGCTGGGATTAGATCGCGTGGCCCCTTATGTAAGTCGAAACCTCTCTGTACGATTTTGATGAGATTTTGCAGACTGGTAGAATTCTGAGACGTGATTTCAATTCTGGAATATAATTGAAATCTTAGCGATAAATTTTGAGAAAATTGCCGTCAAAATCACTGTTTCCATAGCAAAGCTCGACTCGTCAACGAAAAGGGAAGAGAGAGGGGGGAGCCGAGCCAAACCCAACCAATAGCATGGCTCCTTTTCGCTTGTGTACAGGTTACCCCAAAAACGGTCGCTTCTTTGAAAAAGGACGTTCGAATAAAAAACTTTCCGCGACCGTGATAGAACAGATGTAACAATAGCACAAGAGGGTTTTTTGGACGCAGTCTTTTCATTGGCACTGCCTGATGAAAATTTTTAATGGGGATGTCTTTGCTCATGCGCGGAACATTACACAGTCATACCAACATGGAAACCTACACTCATTGTGAGTTTTGTGTTTGTTTCATTTTCAATGTGCATTTTCTACCACAAAATTAATCTGATTAAATTATGACATTACTCTACAAACTGAAGTGTGTACTCAGTATGCATCTACAGATGCATACTTATAAGTACACACCTACAGATGCATACCTAGCTGAGTACACAACTACAGATGCATACCTGTTAAGTATGCATCTGTAGGTGCATACTTGGCAAGTATGCATTAGTAGGTGTGTACTTGTCACCGTATAAATGCCCAGTATCAAGTACACATATACAGATGCATACTTGGCTGAGTACACATCTACAGATGCATACCTGCCAAGTATGCATCTGTAGATGTGTACTCAGCTTGGTATGCATCTGTAAGTGTGTACTTATAAGTATGCACCTGTAGATGCATACTGAGTACACACTTCAGTTTGTAGAGTTATATCTGAATATATTTTGAGGACACATGTTGAAGAAAAGATTTAAAAATATTGAAAAAATAGAACAATTTTTTCATTTATCAACTCTTTACTGAATCAATAAAACAAAATTATATTTCTTAGCTCTGTCTTAGCTCTAGTTTTTGTTTGATGTTTCTTTTCATTCAGTTAGCACGATGACCACATCGCTCCACCTCGCGACTTTCAGTGCTCATGTTCCGCGAACAAGACTCACCTGCAATTCGAAACCATCCCTACTGAGTTTATAAAGATTGTCAAACCAACCGTCGTGGTGTTATTACGTTGTGAATGAGAACTATTACACAGAATTGAAAAAAAAAACATGACTAGAGAACCGCCTTCTGAGACAAGCCAAACAATTCAACGTCAGCAACAATGGCGGGGCAGTTTTAATGCGCGACCACTCGTGTTTTCGGCTTCGCTATTTTCGCAAGGGCGCAGTTGCCGAGAAGATTGTTGCCAACCCGCGAAAATTAATTTACTGCCTCCTTTCCCCCACGAACATTTTAATAATGATTGACTTCAAAGATGTTCCAGTGTGGAATACATTAGCATTGGAATTTTTCGAATTTTACGGCATTTTGATTTCTTTTTGTTGCCAAGTTTAAATTTTGACGGGTGGCACATCGACCACATTGGGACCCTTGCCATTCGTACCTAAACCACCCCTACCCCTTTTACACAACTTTTTTCCTTTCTCCACACTCCTACACAATAACTATATTGACTTCGTGACTCCTAGGATTTCTTGAAATCGTATTTTTTAATCATCACTCGTGTAAATTTTGTCAGAACGTCAGAAACATGTCTGAAATCCTGATCAAAATTCGCGCACCTGTGAAAGCTGAAATTCTGAAAACTTATGCTGATATTGATGGCCTGAGTTGTGCAGAATGTCAGAACATGTTTTCAGGTTTCAGAAGTGCGCGAATTTTGATCAGGTTTTCAGATACGTTTCTCACATTCTGACAAGATTTACACGTGTGGTACTTCGTTTATCAAAGGTTTCCTTAAGCGATAAAAGGCGTATCTGCTACCTACTAGCTAAATGTTTGGCGAGGAGACCTTCACGTGAATTCAGGCGATACAAAAATCCTCGCCATCATGGGAAACAAGTATCCTTATTCAAAGGTGTAGTCCTGATTATGACTTGCTTGTTTATGACAAGCCTGACGTGCATGTAGCTGAGTACCTGCGCACTGAAAGCTGCACTGATCACGCAGTTTAAAAAAACTATCTTGGAAAAATATATTTTTGGGAAAATTAATGATTTGGGAAAAATTTATTTGGGAAATCTACATTGGGAGTGAAAGTTTTAGAAACATTCTCCATTGGGAAAATGGGTTTGGGAAAAATTACCGGTAACCGCTTTTTTTGCAATTAAAAAAATGGTCAAAATTCGTCAAAATTGGTGAACGATTCTCACGTTACGGGGTAGTTTCGTTTCTTCTGACTCCTGTGCCCAAACGAGCGCAGATATCGACATGGGGTTTGTTTCTGATGTTAGGGAGGGCCATTGCCCACTAAACGCACACATTTCGAAAAGTTCACGTTCGTTGGATTGGTCTACGTAGCGTTTGGAATACCCTAAATGTAACTTCCGTGATTGTCCAAAGAGAACATACTCGAACTTTCCGCCCCCAGTGTGGCAGTGTGGTTCGAAAATGCTGCCAACTGTCGATGGGGATTCGAAGCTTGGCATGTCTCGAGCTAATTTCAACCGAAGACCAACACGCCAGACTTCTTTCAAAGGTACTTATGCTGCAACGAAAAATGTCCTCCGTGTATTCAATTTCACTACACTAATTTCGAAAAGGCAGCTCTGGACTTCTCCCCAAGCCAAACTTTTAACTTTCCATGACACAAGCCATCAAAGTGGAGTCCCTGGGATATAATTGCATGGGTCACGGAAATCTAAGATGCTGTACACGGTCTCAAAGCGGGCTAGAGCCCTGGCGTGTATCAACAATTACCTGTAACTTCCGTGGCACCCTTTACCCAATGTTGCAGCAGTACTAGGTGAAAAAATTTTCCGCTGAAATGTCGGGCTTAGAGTATCATTTGACCCTGGAACGACTTTCAAGCCACAGCAAGCCCGAGTCAGCCGTTAAAGCCGATTTTCACACTTTGTAACTTCCGTGATAACATAATTTCCGTGATCGAAACACCCACTAAAACGTGTGGGAATACCTTATGGCTCATGTTTTAAGGAAGGTAGTACAAGGTCTTTACTATAAATACCATTGCCATAACTCTAGTATCATCCAGGACCTCAATAATCAGAAAAACTTAATTGGATATTTTTCACTTTCGGCAAATCAGAGACGCCAAATCTACCCCGAAACGTGAGAATCGCTCTGCTTAGAATTGACCAAACAATGACCAATATTGTAATATTAAAAAATTCTGATCAAAATCCAAAGGCTCGGCTTACAGACCTTGTGGGGAACAACCGATGGAACATTGGTAAAAGTTTTAGCCACGTAGATAAACAAGGTAGGTTTACGCCAGACCGCGTCTTGTCGTAACAGGCTTCGCGATGTCTCGCGGCCTGTTCCTCCAATCCGTGCCTGGCGTACCTACCTTGGCCTGCGGCGCTAGCCTGCCTTCGGCAGGCATTGGCTTGTCCATCGTCCGTTACTCCTTACTTATTGCATAATGGGGGGGGAGGGGGGGGGGTCCGACCCCCAGACCCCCCTTTCTGTAAGACAGAAGTGATCTGCCTGCAGAAAACTCGATTTTTCGCCGTTTTTCAGATGTTTTTCGGCTGTAAAAACTGAACCACGTGAGCTAGGATAGTGAAATTTCGCGTGTGCCGAGCCAAGAACATACCTAATAAGCCTGCAAAATCTCAGCCTGATCGGCCGAGGCGTTCAGAAG